TGAACGAACGCAGGGACGGGCGCACGAACAGACGCATGGACGGTCACACAGATGGACGCATGGACGGACGAATGCTTCACCACACTCTCCATCATTCACTCCGTGTATATGCTGCCATTTTTTTAACTTTTAGAGACTTTTTTCTCAACGCTCAACCGTTCAAATTAACCGTGTAAGTTCTCGGCTTTCCTGGGTAGATCTAAAGAGACAAATACCTGTGGCACTTAACCGCCCCGAGTATGTGCCGCTTTTTTTGGAAAGTATTTGACGACGTACGCGACAAGATTGTGATATTATTCACGTCCTTACGAGTGAGTCATATTCTTCAAACCATCTTACCCTCCCATTTTGGTGTACTTGAAGTTAAGGGGTGATCATGAGAGCAACCAGACGTAGGCAGATATAGATAGATAGATAGATAGACAGATAGATAGATAGATAGATAATAGATAGATAAAGATAGATAGATAGATATAAATAGATATAGATATATATGAGATAGATATAGATAGATATAGATAGATAGATAGATAGATAGATAGATAGATGGGATGGGATTGGGGGATGGATGGATGGCAAAGTGCTTGCAGTACAAAAAAATTGCTCCGAATTTACCTGCATGTCGAATGTAAACAGTTCGTGTGTGCTAGCTTTAAAAGGAAGACAGAAAACGAAACAGTGGTGCGGTATATTTGCCATCGCTTGGGCAGAGGGAAGGAAATGATTAGGTGTAAGGATTGCTAGTGTATGTGTAGCTACATCCGGGTTCTTTAAAATTAATGCATTCATGTATGTAACTTACAATAAATAACTCAAGACCTCCCCAACAATTCATGGCCGGTTTTTGCGATTCGTATACCAATGAATGAAGTAATTTTGGATAGGTCATAAATTTAAGCGAAACTTTGTGACTGGTGCTTACAAAGTAGTAGTGAAAAAAAATTCCACATGTTAGACATTGGAAGGCGAAATCCTGAAACGCACATTATTACTATCACCAAAAAAAAAAGCTTGCACAATCGAACTGCGCCATCTGCACATAAATGTCGGCCCTGTGTTTGGAAGACGGTTAAAAATCTTAAGAACAGAAAAAAACTGTACCTCAGGAATCGAAGCAATGAGATATCGTTAGTGTCACATTAAGGAACTACAATTGAACGGTGCAGTTGAAGTATCATCACGAGTGAAGAGGACGTGACATATGACTTAGCCATGTAGATAAACGGGAGCAAAATTTGAGTTGTGAAATGAAAAAAAAATATACAGCCGAAGGTGTCAATGAGTCAAATTTCGGGATGGGTTTCGAACTCATGTGACACCAGCCTACTTCACTTTGCCCACAAACCAAGTCTGTTAGTGCTTGCTATTTCACCACAAAGACATTCAAGTATGCTGGGGTCGCTGACGCTGTACATGCTCAACGCTGTTTAGTACTAAGTACATATAGAAGTTTTCCACATCACATGCTATAAGGCTAGCACCGATATGATTCGATTGTAGTTTTGACTATTCTATCAAACGTAAGGAATGTTTCTCAAGAAAAAATTGTAGCCAAAGAAGGTGTATTTCAAAAAAAAAAGAAACTTTTTCTCTATGCAGTTAGCCAGGGTGAACTTTATAATCAACCTATAGATTTTCTAAGTCTGTGAAAAGGCGCGAATAAATGTGTTGCGTATACGTCGATAACGAAACCGATTCCACGGCCATCAATGCGTCGATAGCCCAAATCTCTTTCGCGTATCCTAATGAGGTGTTTGCTCACTGTTGTTTTAAACTACTTCACACTGACTGCCATTTTCCACGGATTAGACTGAAATGCGCACAAGCCGACTGCTCAGTTGAACGAAATCACTGAAAAGCGCTTCCCTGTGCGGAGGCCGTTTGAAAAGAATTCCTCGAAAGGGGCCTGCTGCGGAGAATGGGTCCGGGTGGACCATTTGGCCTTCATGGAGAAACTATCAACGAAGCACTATCTGCGATCCTCATGTCATTAGTTGAAGAGGAAACTTTTTTGCTCCTATAGAAAGCATACGGAAGAATTCGCTTACGGGAAACTCGCCGTACCTGCGCAGGAGGAGAGATTAACTAAACGACCAGAGGAACAGCAAAGTTCACAAACGGCCCCATTTCGCTTCACAAAGATACCCTTTGAAAAGACAGTTTGGCTGATAATATTTATTTCGCCGTGGGATACATTTCATTCTTGCCGGTGAAAAATGAGGGCGAGGTATTTCGAGCTACAAAAGCTGAACTACCGAATTCGCAGTGCTCAAAGGAAAAAAATGTTGAGGTCAATAGTAATAGAGGAGAAGGTATAAACGACGGATAAAAGGGGGCTTACCGGGCCCACATCCGAAGGCATATGCAACGTCAAGGCGAAGGTACAAAAGGATGAATGGGTTGCAGGGATTAAACAGCAATACTGAAAGAACAGAATGCGTTGCATTTTTTTATTATTATGCTTAAACTGGAATTTATCTACATCAAAAGCTGTAAGAATGCAACGAAATGGTTCTTTCAATTTGTAACTAATCCAATTTTTTGCGCGATTTTATGTTATTGTGAAACGCTTCATCACAGCAGCGCACACAAGTTTCCTAATCAGTTCCTCAAGGAGCCTGCTCACTTATGACGGAGTAACTCCCCTTCAGAGCAGGTATAACACGTTTAAAGGGGCCCTGCAACACTTTTCAAGCATGGTCAAAAAACACTGCCAATTGGTAGTATAAGCTCGAGCAACACGCGAGCCAAATACTAGAGCGCAGCACGCGGCCAGGAATTAACAAATTATCGAATGCAGCTAGAAATAGATTTCTCTCCTATCGAAAAATTACGGAATAAACACAAAATTTACTCGTAGTAAGCCCATCTATCAGCCATGCTTATTTAAAAATGAGGCGCTTGGCTGTTTTAGAGATCACCATGAGAGGCCGTCACTTGTCCACGCATGAGCGCGCGATCGCACTGAAAAAGCTGCGCATTTTAACGTTTATTAGGTGCTCTGCGCAAGAAAATCGGTGAATGCTATTCTGGAGGTGCTGCGTTAGAGTGCCTCGAGCGTGTAGCGGAGGCGAACGAGCGCATCGAGGCACGTCAGACACGAGCGCCATCTGGCAGTTATCTTCAAAAACGAAGGCGTGCGCGCCCGCGGAGAAAGATGCGCGCATGTCTCGGAAGTGATAAGGTGTAGAACGCAAAGCGACGGGCAGCTGCCACCACCGTGTCGTCTTAGCGAAGCGTTGGAAACACCTCTTTGAGCATCGCGTTGCACTGTCAGCGCAGCGCGATAAACGCTAAATTCCTTATACTCACTTGTGTGTGCCCCTTTTAGTATAAAGACACATATACAAAACATCAACGTGTTGTTATGGCGCCTCAGATATGCGCAATATTGCTTTTTATTTGACAATCGCAGAACTAAAAACGTTGATTCTTGAGCAATATTGGTGGGTGCTGCGGATGGGGTCGGCCGTTTGGTGCCGTTTGAGGTATTGTTAGGACGGACGGACGGACGGACGGACGGACGGACAGACAGACAGACAGACAGACAGACAGACAGACAGACCAACCGACCAAATATTTTTTCGTTGAAGGTCCCCAAGAAAAACTATCGTCTTTAAAAAAAGGGTGGTTCAAGGTCACGAGGCACGAGTGACGATGTTTGTTTGCCCCTCCCATCTCCCTGCGTAGCTTCAGCGCTTTTGTCGCGCCGAGAGAAGAGAGAATGTGATTGCAGCGTGTGACAAATCTCTGTAACCCCGCTCGTGCTGGGCGGATTCTTAAAACTTTTGCGGGCCCCGCCGCGGTGGTCTAGTGGCTAAGGTACTCGGCTGCTGACCCGCAGGTCGCGGGTTCGAATCCCGGCTGCGGCGGCTGCATTTCCGATGGAGGCGGAAATGGTGTAGGCCCGTGTGCTCAGATTTGGGCGCACGTTAAAGAATCCCAGGTGGTCGAAATTTCCGGAGACCTCCACTACGGCGTCTCTCATAATCATATGGTGGTTTTGGGACGTTAAACCCCACATATATAAAACTTTTGCAGCGTTGAATTGGTGAAGTAATACGTTTTTTTGAGTGAATTAACTCTATGTTTACTCAGAAAGGTGTTTCAGAGCCCCTTTAAATCGAGTGCTACAGATCTAGCACAGTGATAGAATCTAAACTACACTAACGTTTTCTTAATAGGCGATATTTAGTGGACAAGTACAAGCCTTGCCATTGATGTCGTTATAAACGGCGCAAAATTTAAGGAAATGAATGGAACATTTTGGGGAGTCTAGTTGGGAGTGTTGATGACATGCGTATCCAAAGAGAAATAGGTGAGATCCCCAATGACTGGCTTACCTATTAATTACTCCAGCCCACTAGCACCAAACACCCGGCATACCAAACGGATACACAATGTTATTAAACTGCAGTCTATACGTGAATAAATGTATAATTCTCTACCTCACATAGCATTTTGTTTTAATGGCAACGTTTCACAAAAGAACATTCTTAGTGACAAATCTTGAATGGAACATGGCCATGGGATTCGCGATAATTTACGCTATGGGACACTCGCCACAGCTGTAATGTGCGGCCAGCTGTGTTGTCCGAGCGATAAACTAGACACTCGGCTAGAGTGTTTAATTACTCATCATTGTGGTGCATACCCAAGTGTACGAATAATGAACTCGACGAGAACGCAATCAGAAATGGCATGGTAAGGTATAGAGGTTACTAAAACTTCTCTATAAAAAGTGGTGTCCTTTGTGGGACGTACAGCGTTACTGCCGCAAGAACAGCTGTATCAGAAAAGATTGAATAATAGAATAATAAGCTCCAGATTAAAGCACACTAACCTACTTATTTATACCAGCACTGAAACCAGCAATGGGAAAAAGGAGACGTTTGTTTTTTGCAGAGCCACTGGGAAAGCTTGCTCCACGCATTATGGAGTCCCGCAGATCGATGCAAGCGGAACAGGGCCTGCAGGTGGCGTTGCCGTGTGTTGCGCAGGGTCATCCATCTCCCGCTACTCCTGGTTTCGTCTAACGGGGGACCATAAGAGCACGGCGGCTCAGGGTCAGGACAGTGAGGCCATGATACCTTTGAAGGCTTCCGAGAAAGTGTTCCTGCTCTCGGGAGGCGCCGTGCTAACAATTCACGCAGCAATGCCAGAAGACGAAGGAAGATACGTCTGTTTCGCCAACAACTCGGCCGGACAGGATAAAGTCTATACAGACCTTATCGTGATCGGTAAGTGCGCTGGAGAAACCTGGATTAATCTTGTGACTAATATGGAAGAACAGCGGTATTCACGATAATTTACGCTACGAGACACTCGCCACAGCTGTAATGTCCAGCCAGCTGTATTGTCCGAGTGATAAACCAGACACACGGGTAGAAGGTATAATTACTCCATAATGTTCTACTGGGGATTGGCCCTCAAAGTGGACTACGTGGTATCATATACCAAATATATACATCAACCATTGAATCGCGATAAAAGCAAATGAGTACGCATCATCACGAATGAATGTCGGGAGTATCTAAAACTTCGCAAAGCGCACCAGCAATTGCTGCACTGGGGGACCTTGCTTTTTTAAGTGTTTTAGCTGTGTCCTAAGTAGATCTATTATTGCCTGGGCCAAATCAGGCTATTGTAAGGAGTGGAAGCAGAATGCTTACTATCACTTTACCATATCACTAAGCTAGGAAACCTACCACAACAAAAGTGATTGTACGCGCTTAGCAAATAACACTAGGCTCCCATCTGTTCTCATCTGTTAGCCATCTGTTAGTTCCCGTTAAGCTCCCATCTGTTAAACACTTGTCCAACTTGGAACAAGTGACTAACAAGCTTCAAGAGTACAGAGGAGGCAGCTCCGCTCTGAAAATCAAGCGCCTTCACGAGATGAGAAGGTGCGACAAAACACAAAGCATTGATAGCATATATCTGTCGTCTGTCTTTTGCTGACGCATATCTTGTAACGTTGGCCGAACAAAGAACGCGCGCTGCTTCTTCTTGCTTCCGGGGACGCTGCTTTTATGTTCGTCTCACATTCTGCGTAGCACCACTGTCCGCAACCATCGATCCTCCTGTGCTGATAGTGGACGCTGGCGGGAGTGCCAACTTAAGTTGCAGGGTGTCTGGGCGCCCCGTGGAAGGAGTTGTGTGGACACATGACGGCGTCCCACTCTTCGCTTCTGGCTCGTCATCCGGCAGCTCTGGGACCGGAAGTGCCAAGATTACTTCCGTTTCCGGATCTGCAAATGTGGTCTTGCTGTCACGTGACGTTCTGCGCGTCGCACCAATGGAGCGAAGTGACAGTGGAATGTACCAGTGCCTGGTCTACAACCGGCAGGACTCGGCGCAGGGAACTGCGCAAATAACTGTCACAGGTGCGTCCGTCTATGGCTTTACTGCTTTATTTCCGCGCTTATTTTGCTTGATTTGATCATTATTGAATGTTTTAACCGCTAGGCTGGAAGCATAATTTTTAGAAATTAAGTGCACCAGGACACTGATTCTTAAAAGACAACAGAATAAGCCAGCTCAAAATACAGTGAAATAAAGAAATGTAAGCACTATACGTTGAACCACGGAAGAGTTGTCAGTTTGTTTCTACGCTCTGGAGTAGAACCGCAATAATGAAGAGGAGCCTCACTACTGAAGCGACAGTGTGTGTGTGCCAATAACATCATGTCCAAAAAGAGCAGAAGCCCTCTGCACGAAAGAACTGTAGGTTGGCAGAACCTAAGAAAGACTGTAGTGTTATTTTCTGTATTAGATAACGTATTCCGGTGAATATATACTAATGACGACATCAATTCTTGTAATGACACGGTAGATATTTTAGTGCACACAAAAACATAATTTGAATTGTTTTCGAATGTGTTTTGTATAGCTCACTGATTTTTTTCTATAGAATGCTTCGCACATCACCTATCCTAGTCACCACTCTTGCCCTCTTTTTCCTCTTAATTGAAAATACGTTCTAATATCTTCCCCTCTCCTAGCCTTGTTGTTTCCTGAAACAGTTCTCCCCTTTGATATGCTTGATAATTATTGGTAATAGCACAAGCTATGCATTTGAGACAATTTGCAGCTTCTTTAGGAAGAGTGCACGTGATTTTTAAGGTACCGAGGTCAGTTTCACTGAACTAAACAGGCAAATGACAAAGCAGTATTGTATTTTATTATTTTTACGCGATACGCCTGGTGGTGCCGTGCAGCCTCTTAAAATCACGCGTGAACCTCACTCATGCATATTTATGACATCCGAGTAGGCAACCGAGTCTTATGGCTCCGAACGCTGCGTCATTTTAGTCGTTGTACCGACCGAATCAGACACGCTACAGTGGCTGCCCACACCATTTTGTGCAGCCCCTGTGTGACGCGTTCAACTATGCACAAATTTTCAGGCACAGTGCCACCAGAAAGAAGTACACTGCCAAGCAGCGACACAAACTTACGAAGGCGCCGATGGTGTGGAAGAGTAGTGCGAGGCTGTGCTTAGCAGAGCGTCCTATTTTTCCTTTTCTGTAGGTATTTTCAGTTCGTTCTTCCATGCTTCTTTTATTTTTGCCACTGAGAAGTCAAGCTCCCGCCTGTATCTTGCGCTGAAGCGTGCCTAATCGAATTTGCAATTTAGGCAGCTCGAGTCGTTTTTTTTATGCCCAGACTGACATTGCGTCTGGCCTCACATTAGCCTCTTCAGTCGGGTTCGAGCGAGACAACAAGATTAGCCGTGGTGCGACACCGCTGAAAGTGTTGGCTATTGTAGTGACTTCGTTTTCCTAACATGTACAGGTCGCAGCAATGGTTACTACACAGCTTGAGACCTGCAAGTTGTCTGTTGCGTATACTTGCAGTACCAAGTGCATGCGTATGCTGTCCTAAAACCGAGAAAACTAGCCCACTAACGGGCAAGCATCTCGCACTGGCGTCTTCGAACCACTGGTAATGTCTTTCGTGCAGAGAAGCCGTGAGTTATTCGCCTAACCAGATGCTTTGTAATGGCGCACGCCGTCATAAAGGCAGAACTAGATTTGGGCAAAACCATACTAATGCTCCAATTTATGATAGCATGGAGCTTTTTGTCGTGACCATAGCTAATGACTCTGGAGAGTTTCCTAGTTCGCAGTGAAGTCAACACGGGGTAGGGGGGGGGGGCACCATTGTCGATGGAGAATAGGTTGGTGGTACATAGAAAGCCTACATAGAAGAAAGGGATAGTAAGGATAGTAAGGCAAGCAATTAAGCGAATATACGGGGTGTTCCAAAAATGTGTCCGAAACCCACCAAAGTCAGGGTAGTGCAGTCTTTGTTTGATTGCTGCCCAATTGCTTCTACTGTTGTGGCCAGCATCTTGATACATCATTCGAGACCATAATTAAGAAAGTTAAGCTTGTTAACTTTCTAATCAGTGGAGTTAGGTGCTTATTCCAAATGATACAATGAAGTCGTTCATACGAAAGACCCGTTGTATCTTTGGGATTTTTAAAGAAACGGCTTTTACTACTGATTGCAAACTAATGAAATGTACCTAAATTCAAGGTGAAAACCGAAACCAAAATACGCAAAATCAAAACTGCCATGCTCTTCTCGGACGTCCAGAATCATCCTAGGTCCACCATTAAGCGGCTTCGTTGAGTGAATAGCTGGGTTGTGCTTAAAACTATAGCACGTGTGGAACATAAGGTAACGAACGTGAAGAAACTACACCTGTGTAATACATTTATCGAATATTGACGTCATTTTTGTCGTCTGCTTATTGCGTTCATTGGTGTTTAGCTTTCAGTTTCACCTTTGAATTTAGTTGAAGTTCATTATGCCACAATGATGACTAGAGGCTGAGTTTGTAAATCGCAAAACTGTGATTGATTCCTCGCACCAAAACCTCAATGCTTCCATTTGACGCAGCCATCTATCTCCACTAATTTAAAGTTAATAATAATTGATCGCAGCATCAATTACCATTAGCATCGCAAAACCACGATATGATTAAGGGAGACGCTGTAGTGGAGGGCTACGGAAATTTAGATCTGGGGTGGCTCAATCCAACGCACACGGGCCTCAAGCATTCTTGCCTGCATCTATAATGCGGCCCCGCGGCCGGGATTTGACCCCATGACCTGTGATGAATAAAGTACGTTAATATATTCAACTTTTTAAACTACCATTCCAAAACCCCTACAGCAAAAAACAACTTGAAGACAGCAAGTAAATATCGCATTTTACTGACTTTGAGAACTCTAGACAGACGGAAACAAATCCTGTCTACTTGGATTTAGGCACACGTTAAAGAACTCCAGTGGTCCAATTTTCTAGAGTGATTCACTACAAAATTTCTCATAATCATATCATAATTCTGAGACGTTAAACCTCATAATATATATTATTATTATTATTTTTTATTATATTATTATATTATTATTATTATTATTATTATTATTATTATTATTATTATTATTATTATTATTATTATTATTATTATTATTATTATTATTATTATTATTATTATTATTATATTATTATTACAAACACGATGCTGAAATGCCTCTATTAGGTTTGCAAAAAGAATGACAATGCAAGCCAGTCGCAGAAGCCATACATGTAATAAATCTCTGCCCGAATCAAATTAAAGCAAACGGGAGCGTCAGATGTCCCAATTGACATTAAAGAAATAAATGAAGCTGACCTGGTTACGTAGTGCGCATAAAAGATGACCTGTGATATTATGGTCGCACAATTAGTGCCAAGGGAAAAGAAGAGCGCCGTTAAGAGGAGACAAAGAGAGCTAGGTGGTCTGATGAAATTAGGAAATAGGCAGGCAGGAGACGGGGGTCACCCGGTGATAAATAAGTGTAAATGAAGATTGCTGGTAGGAGCATTAGTAGAACATTAGGTGTAATAACAATACAAATATGGTGAATAAACAAGAGAAACACTACGGAGAAGGTGTACAGAGTTGACGTCGTAGAGCGTCCTAAAAGGAACAGAAAAAGTATTTCCGGACTTTTCACTGTACCTTACTACTGCGCGCACAGCTGGAACATTGTAGAATAAGTGATACCTGACCTCTGTCAGTGCTGTAGAGTGGTTTATTGTCAGACTAATTGTAACATCTGTAACAGCGCCAAAAAGTCGAAAGAATGGCGGCAGAGACGGACTGTAAAGAACACAAGAAGGTAACAGGGTGCGCCACTCTTTGAGCGCCACTTCTAGTGGTCAGGCTATTCAGAGTAAGTGACACTAAATAGCATACAAATACACACAGCTGACGACACTGACGTTACCTGTTCACTGTGCTGCAAATTAAATGGCCAGAAGCTGCACCATTATGATGCGCCTTTCTCGTGCCGCTTCTGCAGTGTGACTTTGCCATTTTCAGTATACGTTGTACGTCGTAAACGAAACATTCCATCTAACGTAAGGGCCCAGTGATTCAGCTCTTACAGAATAAGTTATCTTAGAAACACGGCTTCAGAGCTCTAATATATATAATAATATCTGGTGTTTTACTTCCGAACATTCGTGACGATATGATTCTGAGAGACGCCGTAGCGAAGGGCTATGAAATCTTCATTGTCTGGTGCTTTTAACGCGCACCGATATCGCATAGTACATGGGCCTTTTCGATTTAGCCTTTGTCAAAATACAACCACCGTAGCTAGGCTCGAACCCACGACCTTCGGTTTAGCAGCCGAGCACCCTGTAGTCACTGATACACCGAAGCGAACGGAACTTCCTACACTTGTTACCCAGGTCGACCCATCAAGCAATAATTGATGGTGCCTCCGTTAAGTGCCCGAACAAAGCTTGAATAGCGCTTGTGAACCATATGAAGACATGTATTATTTATCTCTCTCACTGTCTTTTACCCCTTATACCATTCCCCACGAGCCGAGTAGCAAAGGGCAACAGGAAGAGCAAGGGAACAATGTAACGTTAGCGTCCCTGTTCTCGCTTTATTCCATCTTTTTCCATCTCGTAGGATAAATACATAAGTGAATATTTACTGCAGGTAGGAGAGAGTGGTTAAAGTTAGCGGTCACCCTACTAATTCGCTTAAGTGTCTACTAGCGGTACTCTCCCTTCGGTGTTTGAGTGCCTGTTTGTATTCGTTGGGTCAACTTCATGCTCCGTCGCAATGCCGAAGCGGATCTCAGAAGCCACGTGCGAAGAGATGTATGGTTGAAATATACTGCGCTAGGTGCCGCAACGATCCCACTACGCTCTCTCTCTCTCTCTTGCGCGCGCGCAAACTTCTCTTCCGCACACAATGTTTCCTCGCTCAATAAACCCATTCAGTTGATTCTAAATAATTATTCTGACAGTTAAATGACTCGAATATTATTAAACTTATGCACTGATTACTAAATGCATTCCATATAACGAATAACTTGAATTAGAATCATCGATTGAATGCTATTTTAGTTTTTTGAAATATCTTATTTTAATAATGGGGAATGCTATATCGGGAGCGCTTAAAAGAGAAGCACGACTGTCATTCGTTGCTCGGGCCGCTACAAAAGCATGTATGTTATAACATGCAGTCATGAACATTGCTATCTGCTTCCTGACTCGACTTCAGAACAACTACTTACACTGGAAGTTTACACAAGTTCTCGTCAAGATTATTTGTGCCTCTATAGCGCAAGTCTTAAAGTTACTGCAGCAAACTCTATCTGCAGATTTTCACGTATGATACAACTCTATTTTACTAACAGAGGACGCTCCAGTGCTAGAATACGCCTTTCCAGAGGTCCAGGTTACACCCGGTGGTAGTGCGTCACTCAAGTGCTCCGCTTCGGGAAATCCTTTGCCCCAAGTGACGTGGACCCTCGATGGAGAAGTGGTTCCTGAACATTACCACGTCCGCATTGGGGACTACGTCAGTAGTGAACGGTGAGCTATGTTGCTTTCATTTCGCATATGCCATTAATTTAAACTCTGTAAACAATGAAATACATCGGCGCGAACGAAAATTTCGTTCAGAGTTCTGAAACCATCGTATGATGTTGCTGTGATGAAATTGGAGATTATATCTGTTGCCAATAGGTCGTATCGGTCGCCCTTATTTTCATAGCACTAAACACCAAGGAAATTGCCAAAGATTGTCCGATATACCTACAACCTAATCGCCACAGCTGTTTATCTCTCACCCTTTCACCAATCATGCGCACAGCATGATGCAGTGACAAACACTTGTTACATGTATTTTCCTCGTCTTTAAGAACTTTGGCATTTGGTACGCAGGCAGTGACATGACAGTTGCATCTACCTTTCTTATATGACCTGCAAATGTTAGCCTCACTATAGGTACTGTCACGTGTACATCTATCATGCGTGCTGTGACCATTGAGCGTGCTTTGTTGGAGCGACTACCTGTGAGCGTTTCTCACCTTGCACCCTTTGACATTGGCCGGCTGGCCGCTCAGCCTCGTACACAGCTACGTGAACTTGACCAGCGTGCGTGTTGAGGACGGCGGCCTCTACTCGTGCGTGGCTCGAAACAGCGCCGGCCAGGCATCGCACTCGGCACGCCTCGTCGTGCCAGGAAAACCCGTGGCACGGAGACCCACCGCAAACGTCACGGCACTCGCAGGTCATACGGTACGGCTCTACTGTCCCGTGGCAGGATACCCCATCGAGAGCATCGCTTGGCAAAAGGTGCGTAACATTCATCCCATAATTAAAGACAAGTATTGGAGGGAACCAAAATATTCTACTTTGTTGTATGATAGCGCAACTCGTACCTCAGTGTCCGTGTACTGGAGCGTGACTCGTGATTTATTCAACTTGTATAATGCCAACTTCGGCCTCTACGTATTGGCTGGAGCTTGGCGAGAAGCGCATCTCCCGTGTCTCGTTATTTTTCCGCAACCTCATTTTAACGCCCCGGAGCTATTACAACTATTTTTACAATGAAAGAACTGAATTCATTTCACCCTGCGAATGCTGCCCCCAGAGATTCCCTTTTGGATGCCATCTTCCCTTAGCCCTTGAATTAGCTTTAACGTGGCCACCTGCCTTACGCACCTGAAAGGTCAGTACGCCTTCCCTATATCGTTCTCAATCATCATGACAGATTTATACGCAAGTTCAGACTTGTCAAGTTTGCCTAAGCGCCGTATATTTCATCCACTTTCTGTTAACGCTGGGAATGCACTGGCGGGTTTAGTGGGTCGATGGGTTAAACAGTGCCATGACGTACCATTTCGCAAAACTTTTATATTCAATTTACAAGACTTTTTGAATGTTTCGCAAACCCGAAGTGCTCCGTCAAAAGTGCTTGAAAGAAAGACGAGAGTGTCAATCAGTGCTCGTACCAATGAATGGAGCAACAGTAGCACAATATGGCGAGGATAATCATATATGTCCACCAAACTCTATTTAGCTGTTGACCTCTCAAGCTGAAATGAAATACTTAGACTATGACCAATAACGCAGATGCAATAGTACCTATGACGTTTAAGATCTGTGTCAAAATAAAAGTCATCTTAAAGAAACATTCACTGCAAGAACATTCCTCTCCGTTCAGATATTTTCTTTCGCTTCAAGACACCGTTGTTTCTAATTTTTTAGAGCCGCACTAAGCACCTATGGTGCACATTTGACCCTTTTTTTTAACGTATATATTCCTAACGTAGCAGCGTTCGTAAAACTGCGTCACTAATTATTTTCTCATACATTACTCACGTGTTTTGTTATTTGTTGTTTTATTGATATGTGCAGTACTCGTTCATATTAACCATTTATAAAAAGTTATTAATGTGTATTTAAACTTTCCTCCTCTTTTGTTTAGGTTGTAAGATATTGTATGAAAGCTGCACATACACACGCTAAGATCCCTTACGACCTTAGGGCCCTTACGAAGACGAGGCTGCTTGTCGAAACGTTGGCACTAGTGAAACCCCATGTTGACGAATTTCTCATTAATATTTGCACTTGTTTTAAGTGAAATACAGACAACAAACAGCCATAAATCAACTATATCATTGAAAACATACTTATTGTAATGTATACGTGGCCACTATCTTACGTTGCAATATAAAAGAAGTAGTTTAAAGTTCTCAAAGTTAATCAGCTCCACACAAAATATTCTGTTTCTCTTTAGTTTCAGTGCAGAAAGCCACTCCACGCAGCATTAGATCTCATTCTAGGGAGGAGCTCAGGCAGCGTTTCAGATTTAGTTCGTATCAGCAAGTACAATGCACGTGGTGAAAAATGCAGTATGTAGCTTCAGTGCAAAGTCGTATAAAGTCCATCAAGTGAGATGAAGACAGCCGAACTCTGTGCATGATTGAGTTGACAGGCTCTGTGCTCTATGTATTGAGAGCTGCAGTACGGGTAAATTTTGTCTTTCAACTTCACGAACAAAAATTTTCTAACAGAACAAGTAAGTGAACTTCAAGTCTACGTATTCTACGAACTAAAAAAAGCTTCAGGCAAAACGCAGTCACTCGTTCGAAGGATGTCGGCGAGGGAGGAAACATTTTAGGAACTGACTCCTGGCAGCGATATCTAGCCACACTTAAAATAGTAGTAGTGCTATGCCCGGAAGTACTTCTCTTTTAGTTGTGAAGTTTTGGATTGCGTGAAATTAGAGTTTTTTTTTCTTCCAGGTGTTTCTCCAGTATTGCTGTTTTCTTGATAACTCGCATTCGTACTTCTAGAGCAGAATGTGTGAATTTTTTTTCATTGATTTTGAGGCACTCCCCTTTCGTTTAGTATCTTTAGTGTATAGCTTCCTGCTTGTAGGATGTTTTTTTGTAATGGTATGGAAACTGCGCCAAAACAAGTTTCCCCAACCGCAAGGTGTAATTTTCCGCTGCTGGTGCTACATTCAGATATTGCATAATTCCGCCTTCGCAATATCGACTTACTTTTTGCGTGCGTGTGTTTGCTATTACCCTGACTGTGTAAGGCAAAAGTAAGCATTAGCTAGAGCTTTTATATAGTTACCTTCTACAGCTGCTGATTTATATAATGTGTTCTTATCCGTATGTACTCTTTCATACCTTTGTGAGAGGACACACCCACTAAACAGGCTTGTCTTTTGGAAAAGTTGTCTTCTTTTCATCACGACTCCTTCTTTAGTTGTTGTTACATCGGATTGTGAGAATGTGTGCAGCAGCGCGCAATACTAAGTGCAGCAAACGCACTCGACAATGCTAAAGACTGCAAAGTAAAGTGCACAAGAGCAGGAGTGTTCAACACTACATACGGTGCCATTCTTGATAAACATAAACGCATAAAGTTTGCATAGAGACTGGTCTGTACAAATGGGAGTTCCGCAAGGTGATCGCATTTATTGTGGTAGCTGTATGATCGCTGCAAAAGTTATGGCACGTCGCTTTTAATTAAAAACTGAGTTACATTGCCTATTTCGTTCCAGTTTAAGTCAGCTTGCCTATACAGGCAAACGCAATTTTCGGGACAGTAAATTTACGTAAAACGATTTTCAGCTTCAGCATGAGATGTGTAGCACAACCCAGCAGGCCCGAATTGAATGATAAAATAATCTAAATGCGGCCCTGATACCGCAGATAAGTCCGTGAGCTTTTCGAGGCGCTTCACAGTTGAAGAAGTAGTTCACCCTCATCCCGACTACTTGGATTGGTAGAGCGAGTGCCTTTTCCCAAGAGTTTGCTCATAGTTTCGATTGACATATCGCAAAACTTTTTTCTTGAGCTTAAAGAGTTCTAGATGTCCCTTGTAGGAGTGTATTGCTGCTGTATGGTTGGTGACTTTCCGTTTCATGAACATTTGCTTACTTCACAAGTTTCCGAAGAACTAAGTCGCCAGACACAAATTACGAATGCTTCAATATTCTGACAACGGCCGGATCAGCTTGTGAATAAAAAATGTGTTTTATTATCAGTATCTTTTTTTTACTCTTTGATATCACTACAAATTGGCGGCAACGGATAAGAAGTCTTGTGCATTAGCGAATTTCGTCAATTTGCATGGGCTTCATGCATGCACACTTTCCATACGTAGCCGCCATGTAATCCTACGTAAAAATTTTCGTATCCGGATATCTAGCACCTTTCCTCGTAAGAATAATGGCTTCATTATCATATCATATTGCTGGTCTATATACGTTGAATAGTTTTATCTTTCTATTGTTTTTACAGTATACTACTCGCTCATAAAAACAAGTGAGCAGTTAGTACGATGTCCTATTATTCATGGGGGGGGGGGTCAATGTTTGTTGCATGTGCGCCCGTCATCTGAATGATCACTGATGCCTTTCTGAAACGATCCCTGAATGACTGAGTTCAAAGACGAGAGAGCGTATTGCTTATCACTTTCACTTCTCCTCTACCAGGCACTGTATCTTCCTCGCCACTTATTGATTCATACAAGTGAAAAATGTGAGAACTAATTGTAGAAACTATCAGGACATTAGGAAACTTATTTTGAGACGCCAAAACACAATGATGGGAGAGAATCTTGGAACACAAGAGCTCTAACTTGAAACTGAAAATTGATTGCAAGAAAGGAAGGGAAAAAAAGCTACACGCCATTAGATGGCGCACATGCGTTTACACTTGCGCAGACTGCTCGCATGCACTATTCTCTCCCGTTCTTGTTTTTCGGTGCTTGATGAAAATTGTTTCCTAATGTCATAGAAGCTAGTCCAAGCTTCCATGCTTCTATCATGACTTCGCGCTTTTCGGCTACACGCTCTTACCTCTGCTTCCGAATCGAAAACGTACAAACCTAATTGAAATAATTTGATTGCGCGTGATAGCCAGGCGAGAAAAGGCACAATGGCCGTCCAACTGCATGGCAAAGCGGGAAAAGCGGCGACTGGCAGCTCATATTCGTGGCGTATGCAAACCAATCGAGATCTCATTAGATCGTAACGTCTTGTGAACTAGACTGCTCGCGTCACGATTCGCGTCGTAAAGAAAGGAGAATGCGGAGAGGAAAACGCGCCCATGCTTTGTAATTTGAGAGTTTGTTTAGCGGTGCTTTAAGCTGATAGTCCACCTCGATCGGAAGAGCGCCACTCATATGATAATATCGAATTTGAAATGGCAGGTAATGTGACGCCAAGGAAAAGATCGGATCAACCTGCGGTATGCGTTATGTGTGCGTAGTATGACTAGAAATAAGGAAATCAGCCCACGCATTTATTCTATTCTAAACTGCCCGCATCGTTCGTATACTGCAGCGGTATTTTGTTTCCGTTTCCACTTTTTTTAACGCTGCACTTGGTCGGCATCTTTCGCGCCCAGACGGCCGTTGGCTTCCGCAGAACCATCGACAACGCAGCTTCCCCAACGGCACCCTGGTGGTGACGCAAGTGCAGCGCAGCCAGGACACCGGCTGGTACGAGTGCACCGCCCGTGACACGCAAGGGAACACAGCCCGAGGGCAGCTCGTTTTGCGTGTGATGAGTAAGTCAGCCACAACGTGAATAACCCTTTCACATTCCTGTTATGGCTGCACTGTTTATGATATACAGCGCTTGCCTAAGTCTCCTTAAGCTGCGAAATTAACAAGACATATAAATTAGAGTAATGAACAGTTTGATAGCATATGTGCATGACCTTATAATAAGATAACCAAATATTTACTGTCATGCGTTAGGATAGCCACCAGCAGGACTTGACCACCGTGAAGAGACAATTCTGCACGCAACAACGGCTTATTACACTTGTTCCTGCTGATCGTAGTTTGTCTTTTTTTTGTGTGAGACGAATGCTAGCATTGCGATTACAAACATTCCTGCCGTAGTGACTCGAAGGTTGGTGACCTTAATTATGAGATTGCAGAGTCATGACAGTTACTATTACACTATCGCGTTTATGTCTTTGTCGTTAGTCAGAAGTATAGCGTGCTAACAGTCATTATGCTTACAAAAGTACGCGATTCACGTGCTGGCTCTATTTCAGCACTATTTATAACCAAGGTAGAGGCAGTCAAGTGGGGCTTCCGTGTGCTTCCGAAAAGTCGACTGTCAACTAGACGAGGCTTTGTCTTGAAATTACTACGCCACTGAATGGCCATATTTTATTTCTTCGAACAAGTTGTTGAAGTCCTCTGCAAAAAATCTCTATGTTCAAGAGTGGCTTTTCTATTGAGGTCACAAAAGTAACGCTAAACTAAAGCAAGGCTTGCCTCCGCTTTATATATTTTCCTGCAAAGGCAAATTGAAGAGTGAAGGCAGCTACAATGAACAACAGTTTGATGGTTCAAATACTTCAAGAAAAAAAAACAGCGTTTTCTACATAAAAGCTACATTCTATGCGCAGAAATATAGCATACAAGTTAAAACAAATGCACCTCACAACACTATCCACCACGTCAGAACACAGCTATCCTGTATATTATATAAAAATCTGTATGTGTTTATCACGCAGATTGTCTTAACGTGATTAACGAAAGCCATGACAAGTTTATCCGAGTCTTCAAAAGTTTACATAGCGCAATGCAAAGGTCAGTCATCACTTGGTATCTCATCGTTCATTATAAATTTAAGCTTTAAGCGGGACCAATGAGACCCTTCAGGTCAGTTCGCGCTATATCAAAAATTTCTCAGGGCAAGTTGTTTAAAGTGAAGGTTCTTCGAGTCAGTTTAGGAAATTACATGATGACGTGCCTTTGCACTATGTACAGCCGCTTTCAGGAAGGTCACAGCAGGGATGTATACGTCGCGCTTCAGTCCTTCATAATTATTTTAAGACGTTTCCTGTTTAAATACAACGATCCGTAAACTGCGCATTGAAGGCGGCAATGAATTCGGTGGGGGGCTGTTCAAACAAGCATGCTTCCTTCTGGTAGAAGAAAAGTGCTGAATTCGCTAGAATGTTTGCCGAACTCAGACACAAACATTGGTACGTTTTTTTTTCTTTGAAGTATGATCGTTTGGACTTTGAGGTAACCATAAATCATGAGCACTTGAGGGTGAAGTGAGAGAACTTTCAAAGCTGGTCGACGAGTTTTTATGCACTGTGCCTAAACAGTTCAACACCTATTCCTCTCAGAGGTGCGTATTCGATACACTAGCAAATACACTAGCGATACACTAGCGATACAGATAGCAAATTGAGAGAAGCCAATGCTGATTGATTGATTGATGTGTGGGGTTTGACGTCCCTAAACCACCATATGATTATGTCAGACACCGTAGTGGAGGGCGCCGGGAATTCCGACCACTTAGGGTTCTTCAACGTGCACCCAAATCTGAGCACACAGGTCCACAGCGTTTCCGCCTCCATAAGAATGCAGCCACCACAGCCGGAATTCGATCCCGCGACCTGCGGGTCAGCAGCCGAGTACCTTAGCCACTAGGCCAGCGTGGCGGGGCAAAGCCAATGCCATAATTTTAGCCCAAAAGAATAGTTACTAGCAGTAATAAAATATATATGAGGCAATTTTGGTGCAATCTTTTGAGTGGTCACAATGTCTACACAGTTCTTGGCTTTTCGCTTTTTGAAGCACTCACTCACTCACTCACTCGCTCACTTGTGCTCACTGATCTTCACAGACGAGCTTGCAGAGCCCTTTATTGAGTGCAATTCAAGCTGCCTAATTAGGAGCTCAGCGCCTATGACTGTTTGTCGCATACTGAATTAAATGTTCATATGACCTTTTAAAGAAAGTTTATCATGTATTACCAACTGTTACGCGCCTCAGATTTGCCAATGTCACCCGCAGCTCCACCTGTGGTAAGTCCGTTCAATTTTCCGGATGACCTGACGGAAGGCAAGCGAGCTGGCGCTGCCTGCATCGTTTCCGACGGCGATCCGCCCATATCCATCGGATGGCTCAGGACGGCCAGCCCATAGACGAGAAGACGTTAGGTGCCACCGCATCCCGAACCAACGACTACACGTCCTTCTTGTCTATCGTCGCTGTCCGTCAGGAACTCCACCGAGGCTTGTACACCTGCGTCGCCTCAAACCCGGCAGCTTCGGCCAACTATACGGCACCTATGCTGGTCCGTGGTGAGTACCTGCTTATGACCCATAAATAGACCATAAAGTGCCACCGTTAGAGTATTTGGATAAGGTGGCAGCAGTCACACTTGTTGGTGGGAGTAAAAATGTTGTTAAATAGTGTGCCCATTACGAGGTCTTGAAACCTTGTTATTAAAGTAAAAGCGCGAGTGGCGACGATGTAGAAATAAGTCGGTTTGGTTTTTATTGTTAGGTACCGATCTCAACAAACTTTAACAGCACAAAAGCCAAGCTATTCACGTTTTTGGATTGACCAGCCTACACTTTAATTCGCGTGCCTTGCGTATAGCCTATATATAATTCAACATTTCTATAGCAAAGCGAAAGGACAGCTTGATCCCTCGAAATATTTATAATGATGAACAACCATGTTGTGTAAACCGATCCTTTATTTTTAGAGGAATTTTAGCGTCTTTTTAGAAACTTCAGAGACTATGTTTTTTTCTGTATACTTGTCAAGGTACTACCTAGCATTTTCTACTTCCCCGGTCAATTTTCCTGTCATCAAAAATTTTCGCTTTAATGCCTGTACTAAAAATATTTCGTCTGTTCTATACAGTTGGCCCACGGTGGCAGCATCAACCTGAAGACAAGGCCGCTATTCTGGGCCAACCTTTGATATTTGACTGCCAAGCGCACGGTTTCCCAATCCCGGTTATCCGATGGAAGAAGGAACGTTGTAGGTGCACATTTCATTAACTAGATATTACAGCAATCGCAGTGTGTTGAATATTACCAGGCTCTGCTCACAGGCATTTTAACACCTCCCGTTGTTTGCCACCCTTTTTTTCAGTACGCGTATCTTTAGAGTGTCTGCACAGGTGCTATCACAGTGTTTTGTGTGAAATAAAAATTACGTTCTTGCAGAGGTGTTGAACGTACACATCAAGGACATTGAGACTTGGCGTCTTCTTCGGGGGCGAGTCACCAAGTATTTATTAGTTAGTGCGGGTTTGTGTAATTGAATTTTTTGTTGTTTTTTGCCACCCCGTGGGGGAGGTGCGCGTACATTGAACAC